CCTGCTCTGTCCTGGATGCTCTAAGCACGTGCCCTCCCCTGCCACACAGGGCCATCTCTAGTGGCCCACAGTCTGGAAGGAGCAATGTCTGCTTCTGGGACAATCCCAGGGGTGTTCCACTGGCTTCATCGTTACCTGGATGAATGTAATCTGTGGAGCCCATAGCAGATAGGTTTTGCCTACTGTGTCAGAATCTGATAATGAGATAATCAGTAGTAAATTATTTCCTAACCAGAATTATTCCAAAGAACATTTGTTGCTGAGGAGCATATATGTTTTCCCCTTGTTTTACACGCTCTGAAACATTAACCTCAATTGCTCCTACAACATATGTGCTTCATCATGCTAGGTAAAGCCCCTGTTACCGATATGCTCACTTTACAGGTCCAAAATGGTCTAATTACACATGAAAAGATTTCGCTGCTGAACAGCTGCTTCAAAGTGTTTGAAATATAAAGGCTGTGAAGTTTTGTTCGCTGCTAGCAGAAGGTGCCAGACTGACAGCACTGCAAAGTCCCTGTACGGAACAAACAGAATAATATAGCTGTCACCCTCAGTATCACTTGCTGTCTTTGTATTGTGCTGTTTTTTATCTGTCGATGTAAAAGCACAAGGATACTACAAACATCCCACAGCTGACCTCTGGAAGGAGGCTCTGCACCGTAAGGACTTCCGTGCTGGTTGGCACACTCTAGTGCGAGCTGGGCTAGATGATAACCCAACTTTGGCAGGAAGGTGCATGTGGGGATCCCATGGTTTTTACTTAAGCCTTTTACTGTGCAAATAATTATTACTGTTACTCATCTCTCTGGATTCTGATGCTACTGCAAAAAATCTGCTGCATGGTGCATTACACCCAAAATCTCCTTGTTCAAGATTTGCCAGCTTGGGAGAATGACACAAACTTACACATTTGGCTAATTCTGGAGGTCGTCTGGACTGTTTCAGCTAGCTGTGAGTTACACTGAGGGAGTTACATTGAGGAGACCAGACCAGGGTGTTAATATTGCTACGTGTCAATAAAACTCTCTGCCTAGCCCATCCATAACACTGCAACGGGAGTGAAGTGCTGCCGCAGCTGCTCGGGGGTGGGTGTGTTTGTGTGTGTAACTGGTGGTGATGCACACAGCAACACTGGCTGTGAGTGCACAGGTACAGCTCTTCTACCCGCTGGAACAGCCTGTAGCCTAGGCTGGGCAGTTGTCATAGGGATGTCTCTCAAACTGTGTCCTCTCAAGTTAGGGGAATAGTCTCCTTCTGGAAGGAACAGTGAACTTCTGGAGATGATCTTTCTTTGATGCAGCAGCATGACCACCTCAAAACTGTGCTGGTAGGCAATACCCTGCTACTCCTTGTGTTATATGTGTAGTTCCTGGGCTCCGCTCTGTTTCTTTTTTGATGACCCTGTATGAAGCTGTTAATATCACTCAGATCAATGCACAACTTACTAAACTGATGTAGCTCAACTTTTTTGCTCTTCTTGATACTCTTTCTGTAATTGCTTACTGTCAAAAACAATGCTTATTCTTTCTGCCAATTAATATGCACTCTTAGGAATAAGCCCTTGCACAGAAAAGAAAATCCGTGAAATAAATGATGGAAGTGCTTAGTAAGAAAGCCCTACAATGGCTGGAATTTACCTCCTGACCAAACCTCTGTGAGATCCATGTGCATGATGTACATGTTTGTATGGCTGGGACCATAACCCACGGTGGTATTGCATCTGCTTACATACTTTGTTAGGCCCCTGATACTGTGTCCTGGCAGAAGAGACTTGGGAGGAAAGCTGCATCACTTTTGTGGTGGTTGTTTTCACGTGAAAAATTAAATTTTTCCCAAACTGTCAGCAGGGCTTATAAAAGACGAGTACTGATAAAAGCTAATGCCTTTTGCTGGGAAGTTCTTTGTTGAATGCAATCTGAGGTGAATGCTATATAGAAAAACAATGCCAGGAAAGCATCTGCAGCAGGTTAACTGGGTATTGGGAGAGGAGTATTTCAGATTTAAGAGTAGTGTCAATAGAGTGTTTTTTTCTCTTTCGTGTTTGTCATCTAAGTTTTTCCCTAAACCACTGTAACTATTACTTATTTTGAATGTTGCAAATAGAGGCTAATGTGTGCATCTGCACTTTGACTTGACTTGAGGGAAAGGTGATTTCAGGGTTACTGGGTAGGAGGGAGGCACTCCTGACCCAGTGATGTGGCAAAGTAACAAAAGAGATGGTGGGAAAGTCCAGCAATTGCGCACTTGCCAGTGTGTGCTCCCCAGGTACTGTGTGGGCCAGGATGAGGGCTGGGATCCCTAGAGTCAGGTGAGCTTTCCAGTGACACATAGGTGGGCAGGAGTTCGGCTGAAGAGCCGACAGCTCTGGGGGTCCTCGGAGTTGGTCGCTGCCTTGGTTAGCAATGGTTGTTCACTAAAAGCCTCTATTACTAATCCTGCAACTTCTGTACCCTACGAGACCTGTGGAGTGCTGCACCCCTTTCATCACCATTTCTTATGAGGGTCTCTTTCCTGTTAAGCCCAGGGACTCTGAAATCATTCCCACTACTTTTTTTTTACATGTCCTTGTCTAATGCTGTGCCTTGGAACACATATAACTCAGTGGAAGGATTCCAGATGACTTTCAGTGGGAGTGCATCAGGCCTGTTAATAGCTGAAGCTCTGACTCTCTCTTGATTAGTTCTTTATATGCAGCTCATAATATTAAAAAGCTGAGGGGGAAGATGAAAGATAATAATTTTGTATCCATTTTTCAGTTAGCTTCCACGCTGACAGGTTAGACAGCAATGAAAATACAAACTGCCTTCATTTGTCCCATCTGTTCTCATCCGGCCTGTCATGCCCCGTGAAATCCTACTCGCTGCAACCTCTTAGTTCTCAAGACAAAGGGATAAGTGTTATGGAATGTTGCTCACCTGATGTTACATGAGACTTCTGAAATACTGGTCACATGCTCACCACATACACAGCAAATAAAGGAGGAATTTTCAGTTGGAAGTTATTTCATGTCATTGGTGTCTGGGAGGCAAATCTTCTGGTGGTGCTGGCTCTCAGCAACAACTTATTGCAGTAGCTTTTAGAAATGCAAGTAGGAGGGAGACGATGTAAAGCGATACTGTCTTTGAGGCAGAGAGAAGCACATGTATCCTGGGCCTGATGGAGAAACGTTGAGGTTTCAAAGCTGCTTGTTGAGTTCAGTGCTACTTACTGTAAGGAGGGGTTATCTGCACAAAGAACAGCTAAGAGCATGAAAGCAACTCTTCCAAAGCAATGTAAGGCTGCTGAAATCCCTGACGTCAAGCAGGGGGGATTCCCGTACATGAAATCAATGGGCTCACGTGGATAAGCCTTGTTCCTATTCCCTTGCTTGGCCTTGCTCAGTTGTGGTTAAATAAGGAGATTGGATGATAATCACATGATGATATTGCTGTTGATGGGCAGGGGAACAGGTGGGAGCCCTGGTTTGTCCTGTTACCAATGCCAGCTCCAGGGATGGCTCCAGCATTTGGAAAGTAAGATGTTCCACAATCTAAAAAAGGGGCAGTAAGATGGCTGTTCCACTGCTGAGTCTATCAGGAGAAAAGGACCTGGAAGAGTCAGTCTGTTTGCTCCTCTCATCTATGTTCCTGACTCAGACTGCCAAATTACCCACCATGAGAGAGAGTAACTCTTTGCAGTAATTAATTAAATATCTCACAAATTACTTCCCAGGTATAGGATGCAATTTCTGGTTCAGACAAAAAAGTTAACTAGGTCAGTTTACAGCAGAGTCTTCGGTTTGATATGGGAGACCTGGCATGGGAGAGGCTAATGCTCCATGCTGCTGCCCTGTATCTACCAGTGTCACCACAGTTGATCCCAGCTATTCCAGGATTGTTGGTCCCAGAGTTCTTGGATTTTGTGCCATGCCACAACCAACCCAAAAAATTCTGCATGTGTAACTAAAACAGCAATCTTTTCCACAACAGTTAGTACAAGACTGCTAATGAAGCCACTGTGCTCAATTACTCTCATGGATACATGTTACTAAAGTTTTCCTGTTTGTGTTAATAGCTGTTTTTTTCATCAGACCGTGTTCCCTGTAATAGTAGCAAAAACAGAGCTCCAGGCTGAATATGTTCTTTCTAAGCTACAGGTTGTTACTGCATACCTGGGTGCTTAGCGCTCTGACTATGCTTTAGGTTAATGCATTGATTAATCCAGACATTAGATAAAAGAGTTTATTTAGCATTGAATATTCATTTCTAAATGGAATATGCTACTTATTTTCCACAGTCCATGACATTTTTGGATGGCTTTGTTACAGATTTACCCAGAATACCTGAAAAAGTGCTGAACTGTAGTTAGCCAAGACACCGTTTCCATATTACAACTTTATTATTTGACTCTTCCTAACTTTCTACAGCCACTTAACTCCATTCAAAGTATTTCAAGGTCTATTGCTCATTCCTAACTTTTCCATTAACCTCTTCCCATCACCCCTGATGAATTACTACTCAGGTTCCTACAAATAAGGTATTTTTATGTTTGGTGTAATGATTTCAGGTGTGCAGTTGCTTTTGTCTTTGTCATGTCTGTAACACAGTAACCTGGTATTGCATTAGAAAAAGCTGCATTAAATTTTCTAGGCAATACCTAAAGAGCATAAGTGTCTGTATTTTTTTTTGACATAGCAGAAATAAAGTTACCTAAAAAAAGTATTGATTTTACCTGGGGTCCTGGATGTTCTTCCGTATGAAAAACGGACAATTCTGACCAGGGAGACCCTCTAAAGTTTGTGTCAGCTAATTTGTGTCATTATACTGATTTCTGGGGGCATTAGATTCAGCCCTGGCTTTCACATTTTAAAAAACTGCCCCACCTGCCTTACTGAACAGTACCAACATGGGCTATGCAAGTTTTACTTTACTCAGAGCATAAGACAAAACAGAATCCATCACAACAGTTGGGAATAAAGCACACACAAACACCAATGCTTTTTCCTTTAGCTTCGCTACCATGTAACGTGCCTTGGGTGCAGGAGATGTTAAGGCATCTACCATAGCATCTACAACCTCATTGCCGTTAGTGCTTCCTTCGCTGAGAATGCTGTTGAAAAAGTTTGCTCGCTCTTGAACATACTCCTTATTGTAAACCGACTTTTCCTCTTCACTGAGTTCATTCCAAATCTCTTCGGCACTGACTGGTGGCTGAATTTTTGTAGAGCGTGCATAATTTCCTGGCTGAATAATACAGACCTAAAAGCAAGATGTAAAACTTATCAAGATGCAATCAGTCATTCTGAATTCAATTAAATACTACAGTCAGTAAAACAGATCAAAAGCTTTCTGCAGACAGATTTCTTCCAGAAAATGCTGCTTTGTTGAAACTTTAACCTTGAAAACTTAACTGAAATTGAGTATATTCCTGTGAAACATTTAAGATTGCAGAGGTGCTTTATTCCGACTTCCTCATTTCGCTCTGATGTTAATGTTCTTGTTTTGACTACTCAGCATTCCTTCACAGAATGCAATAGTGCATCTTTGATTTTTAGAGAATGCTTAATGGTATAAACGTTTTGACAATACTGACACAAAGCATTTCAGTATGACTTTGATGTCTCCAAAGTGGAATACTTTAGATTTTTCACTCAGTGGCAAATCTTGCAATAGGTAATATTCTGCCCCTGTTTGGGGGCAAGAGGAAGCGTCAAAGAAAATTAGAAGGTCCTGGGGAAAGAATTGCCGTTTTGCCCAAGTAGGTGTAATTAAAAGGAAAATAGGTGTTGTCAGCCAAGCACAAAGGGGACCAAAGGTCCTGGTCTAGTGGTCACTGAAGTCATCAGCAAATTTCTGTAGATTTCTGTGTGTGTAGATTTAAATTGAAAGCTCAGAAATCCTTTGTTGCTCTGCCTGTTTTCTTTGCATGTGTTGTTGCTACTGTTCTGCTAACTTCTGAGGCTTCTGAGGCATTTCAGAGCAGGCTTAGCACTTACAGTATGCATGCTTTTCCTCAGTTAGCTGCGGGCTCATTAAAACTATTTGTGGATACGCAACGTTAAAAACTCCATGGCATTTAACTGACATGATTTCTAAAGGCTACAATGCAAGGTGAGGAAAAACAGTGCTGAGCTGTGTTAAGAGACTTGGGGATCTGACAGGCATTCTCTGCAGAGTCTGCAGTAATTTACAACCTTCATGCCCCCAGCCCATCTACCAGAAGCTACCACCCATGTGTCTGTACCGGCACGCGCCTGCCTCTCGGCCTGCGCGGCAATCGGCGCGCTGCACACCGCAGGGGTTGAGGCGCTATATGCAGAAAGCAGGAAGGGATGCAGGTAAGCTCCGGCAGAGAGACAGTGTGCATCGCTGAAGGCATCTTATGCTGCTTCAGGTAGGTTTGTCACAGGGCATGTTCTGGAGCCCTCCCTTTGGGTGCTCTTTTCAAAAGTGTTTAGTATTAGCCAAACTAATGCCAATAGTAAAATTCCCACATTTATTTTAAACAAAGGAGTTTTGAAAACTTTGTGTTTTGGAGCTTTTTGGAGTTAGCTAAGCTGCTGAGAGATGATACTTTTTTTCCCTTCCTTGATTTTCTGTAGCCTTCTTTCTAATAGAAGACACATATTTTGTTTCCTATAGGCTTGCCTGGCCAGAGTTCAGTGGGACAGAGCCATAGATCCATCTGTTCCTTGCCATGTCTGGGCGACTTTCTCCTGGAAGGGCAAAGGGAGTGTCAGAGCAGCGGAGGGGAGCGCAGGGGAGGGGGACCATGTATTCTGCAAGCTCTTTGCAGGGTAGGTTCTGAGGCAAATGCCAGCCGCTGTCTTGCATACAGTGAGAAACAGAAAAATAACTCTCATAGATATTCCGGAAATGTTTGTCAGCCTGGCTCACTGTATTGTGTGCTGGGGATATTGAGGGGGTGGAGGAACAGTAAAAATCCCAAAATGACCAGAGTAGCTAACCTGCTAAACTAAGCTCTTTCATGCATTTGAGATTTTTCTTAGCTAATGAGTTCAAATCCTCATCATGCTGTGTGGTATTAGGATGTGTAAAATCACTTGCATTTTATAGCATTTTATATTTATCCAAGAGGGGTAGTTAGTAGATGCATAGCTGTAATTTCTTCCAACACGAAGCTTATGAACAATGCTGTAAATCTGTGTATATAAGAAGTACACCAGTGTAAATCCTCTGGAAGACTTTAGTGTTTGAGAATCAGAATTGGAGTGACTCCAATGAAAAAGCCTGGCGAAGCTACTTAGTGATCTAAGCTTCAGGTATGACTATCAGTGTTGCTTAGGTCATTAAGAGCACTCTTAGAGCCTCTTACGTTAAGAGAATAAAAACATAATTACTCTGCACGGTACTGCCTCTTGCAGTTTAGCTGTTCTCACAAAGAGAAAGGAGCTTTCAAGCACCGATGTTGTGAGGAGAGAGAGAAAGAGGTCAGGTAGGTGACAAGCCTTCCTTCTCACTGCATCTGGGCTCTTTGCTCTCGCAGTCACCCCAGGGAAAGTTTCAGTTCCCTGGTACTGTTACGAGCTCTTCACAGAGCATGGCACTGCTCAGGCAGGCCTGACTCACAAAGTTTCTCCACTGTAGAGGATGTGGAGAAAGGGTGGAAGTCTGAGTGTTGGCACAAAGAGGAGAAGCACTATCCCACAGCTTCTCAGAACTGTGAACGTCAGCCAGGTCCGCTGTTCTCAGTGATTTCCAGCTCACTGATTAGCCATAGAGAAGCCACCTCTTTCCAAGGGGAAGCTGCACCCATGGATTCAGCTCTGATCTTTGTATTTGTCATTTAGATGCATGGAGCTTACTTTGCACAAGCTTAGACATTATTTTCCATACACATACATGCCAAAATTTCCATTCCCACACCATTATCTGGTATTCTTTGTGCAAGTTGCTTTCCTTTTTCCCCATAAAAAGATGTATTTCAGCTCTGTAGGAAGTTTCAGGAGTGAAACTTCTTTCTTTCTCATATGAAAATCAACATTAGAAATAGCAGGGAGTTTCACACAACAGCTACTTGTTACACCACTTACCTGGACACCAAACTTCTTCATTTCCAGTCTTAGAGCATCACAAAATTTTTCAATAGCTGCCTTGGTCATTGAATAAATGCCATTTCCCAGAGTGAAATAGGCAATAATGCTGGACATGAAAACAATACGTCCTGGAAAGAAAATAGTGCAAATAACATAACTTCAGTCTCAGTCTTTAACATAGAATTGATTTACCTGAGTCTTCTGAACTGCTAGTAATGTGGTATTTAGCATGATGCTGTTTTACTACATAGTATGCCAAAGCTGGGCTGTGGAAGTGCGCAGTCCCAGCACAGAAGTGCACTCAGCTCTGTTAAGCAGAGAACTTCACACAAAAATCTTCCTTCCATCTAGTGACAGATGCTGGACTAGACAAAGTGCAGCACATTCCCAACATGCTGGTTATTCCTTCTGAGTCTGAGACAGGATGAAAAGATGGAAACAAAGCAGTCTCCTAAAAGCTTTAGACTGAAAAATAGTAATAAAATACTACGCTAGTAATAGAAGGACTGCAGAGGAGAGGCGCAAATGGATATGTGACTACTGATACCATTTTTTTTGCTGCACTAATGAGGTGTCTGCACTGAGACCTGGCTTACAACTGTGCATATAAAGTCAAAATCAGACTGCACAGTGAAAAGCTTCACCAGAGAAAGGTGACTTGACAAAATACGTGCAGCCTTACACTGCCTTGCTGTCATTTCCCTGATCTGTGCTGCTTTCTTCCCCTTTATAACTCTTGTCAAGTGCAGGCAGGCATTAAATAGCAGAGATTTCTGATTTGAGGCACTGGGCTGTGGTTCATTTCCATTGTTTACTTGTAAACTTCTATCACATAGTCATACCACAGAGTTAGAAATGTGTGAATGTGGATATATAAATACCAGAGGTGAGAGAGAAGGTGGCCTCGTCGTTAACAATACAGAGAACATAGTTGCATTACTGTTGCTGTCACGTTGCAAATAACTTCTGGGCCCCAGATCTGACCAAATGGTATAGGCTTGTGGGATATCAAAAGGGTATCATGGGAATGCAGTGAAATCTGCCATTCTGAATTAGGTTCCCTGCCTTCCTACACGGCATCTGGAATAAATCTCATATACAATAACAGGAGAACAACTACCAGCTTGCTGATCAAGATGCTACCCCAGCTGGCCTGGCCATCTGGAAAAGTTATGGGGAAATGTTCCTCCTCTCAGAGTAGGATGCTTAAGTTCTAGGCTGGAGAGCAGTAACACCCTTTACAAGTATTAAGAATCTTGAAGTTTTTCTTGGAACAGCTGCTCATGCTAAAACGGCAGGAAGCCCGTTCCTTCCGGACACAGCTACTGGGTAAGTGATGGTAGGATGACCTCTGCTTCCTTCATCCAGTAGCTAAGTGATTTGGGGCACACACCCAGGATGTGGGACGTGTCATTTGACTGCTCTCTTTGCCTAAGGTAATTGAAACCCAGCTTTCCCAGGAGAATGCTGTAATATCCATAATTCAAGCTTTTCATCTGGAGAGGTTACTTGCTGCCCCAAAAACGTGAGCTTTAGCTGTCCTGGCTATTCCTCCAAGGAAGGAGTCAGGAAAGCTAGAATTCTTCCTAGAAGTGCCCTGGCCTCCTCTCCTACACAGATGGGACTTGAAAATAGAGTGCAGGCAATTAATAAAAGCAGCATTGACAGCCAGGAGTGAGATGCAGAGTGCTCCTTTGAGCTAAGGTAGTATGTATGTGCAGCCATGCAGATAGAAATCTTCTAAAAGTTTATGCATGTGCTTAATATCATACACATAATTAGTCCCTTTCCCTTCAAAGTAGCACCTTGCAATTCATAAAGTCAGACAAATGCCTCTGGTGGATCAGCATCACAGAGTTTTAGCAGTAAGTAGGATATCACAGAAAAAAAAGTGATTTCTGTCTGTGCAATGGCCACATAACACACTCACTGGGTATATGCAATAGCACATTCATTTACAAAAACACATCCAGCTTGTGGATATTAAAGGTTTCTCTTTTCTTGCATCAGAATATCACCAACTAAAGGTAACCAGGCAGAAGGAAGCAGAGTAGCCAAAAAGGGAATGCCTTTTCTTGCCAACATTTTGTGTAACAGTGACATCTGGGGCTTCCAGATGAAACCTAGCCCTTACTGTGCTTGATGCTGTATACACACAGAACAAATCTTCACCTTAAAGATATTACAATTTAAATAGACGTGCTAAGCAAAAGGGGGAGAAAGGAAAAGGGTATCTTTCTTTCCCAAATACAGGTAGGGAACAAACTGCAAAGCAATTGAGACATGCTGCAACACTGTAGAGGGCTGTTTGAACCGTTCCTTCTCAGAAGATGACACCCATGCGTATGGAGGTCCATGCAAATGCATTTATCCCCTTCAATACCCATGCAACTCTGTATGGCACTCTTCCACATACTTGAAGTTTCCTGCCCAAGGTCATAGAGAGGATCTTGCTAGGCCTGGAACTGGAAGGTGGATGTCTCTAGTTCACCTCTGTAGGGTCATCCTTCCTCTCCTAATTGCCAAACAGTAAAATAGTAAAGCCTAAATAATAAAGTTAAGCAGGAGTTTATTGGATCTTTGTGTTTTCTGATCGTTAATGCTTACAAAGTCTTGCCTGGGATTAATGATCTACTGTAAGCATTTTTACTCTCTTTTTTGAGTCAAACACTAAGAGAATTAATTATTTGTAAACAATGTTTTCTATGTATTGTAAAGACAGAATCTTTAAGGGTATTTTTCCCCTTACAACTTTACCCTCTTTTCAGGATCAAGTTGTTCTTTCAGGCCACACAGAAGGAGGCTGTCATTTCAGTTCAATGACAGATAATTAAGGCTTTTTTTATAGATGCTACATTACCCTGATTATAGTAAGCTAATTATTCTACAACTCTAAATAACAGTGGATTAGCATTACCCTTGTATTTCCTTAGAAGGGGAAGAAATGCCAGGGTTGTTCTGATGCTCCCAAGGAGATTCACATCTGCAAATTTTTCGTATTTCTCCATAGACAGCCACCCTGTCTCGCCAAATGTTGATATTCCTGCATTGTTGACAAGCCCCCAGAAACCTATGGAAGAGAAATGTCTCAACAAGCATTTTTCATTGCAAAACAATCACCATTAGGCGATGAAACAACACTAGTGATTGGAACCCTTGGAAACAACTTTTTAGTTGTGTTATCTTTTTGTCTTTTCTACTTATAAATGCAGGCATGTCTTGTTTAATGAAGGAATGTAATTGTGGCCATTATCTGGACTATATAAGTCTCTGTACTATTTAATAATTACTCACTTTATAGTCGTCTTAAGTTATTTATGAATAACATGATTTGGAAGACTGCATCTTACTGCCAATGCGGTGACATTTTAATTACTTTAATCCCACTGTGTGCTATGAGCAGCTTTGTGAAAATTATATTAAGCAATCTAAAGGCTAAGGGGTAATATTTTTCAAAGTGCTTGACTGATTTAGGATCCTAAGTCTTGGCTCCTTTTCCAGGTTTTTGAGCTTCGATTCCTTCTGAAATCAGACAGAATCAGGTACATGGGTGCAGCATTGAGTAAAGTAGCCAAGTAAGGTCCATGGCTACAGTATTTTTTTTTTTATGTTGTAATCTTGGACAACTCTATTCCCCATATAACAATGGGTTTTGGTGCTAAGAAGCCCAGCCCCTTGAAAGGCAGAAAGAGTCCAGTGTTTGAAAGTGGAAATTAATCGTCAGCAAAGCTTATTCTGACACAACTCTCTGACAGAAAGTGTAAGCCCTTTAGCCCAGAGCCACAGAACACTTTGTGTGACCTCTGTGCAGTGCTAGTAACCTCAACTGTTGTAAATGCTTTTTACAACGAAAAGGAGAGCACTCTACGAGTGTAGAGTGCTCGCAGTTTGGAGCTGACGTGCTGACTAGACCCTGATTAAGCCATGCTGACTTGTTCTTGCCTTCAGAGCACGTATCTGTAGAAGTACAGTAAAGCAGTGAGTGACATGGTGTTTTTTAAAACATTCCTGTTTCTGTCCTCAAATCCTGACTGAGGGTATTTCTAGGGTGACCAGCGATGTAACTAAAAAGTACATAGGATAGCCTGATTTGCACGGAAACGGCTAAGTTTGTAGCTTGTCCCTGCCAGCCTTGACAATTTTTCTTATGTATTTTTTTTAGAGTACTTGTATGTGTCTGAGTCAAATGATTGTTTTGTCGTGCTTTCTAGAGTATCTCCAAGCCTAGGTTTCTGGTGAGGCAGAGTGGGTAACAGTGCCTCTCTTTCTTCTTCTGGGCACAAGGGTTTGAGGCATGTGTGTGATGCTGACCCAGCTGTAGCCTCCTGTACCCGTGGTGCCAAAGATACTCTCAGGGGACCTTTGGTCACCCTGGTGAAGGTGCTGCAGAAACCCTTCGGCTGAACTCTTTTCTTTTTGATCTTCTCTGACAAAGCTACTGCGATGAGTTCATGGTATCTTGGTCCTTCCAGAGCCCTGCCAAGAACTGCTAATACAGGATTTCAGTCACAATGATAGTTAGAGCTGAAACAGAAAATTTTTTGAATTAGTTTGTAAAACAGACCTCTGTAAACTTTCCTAACGTATATACACTACTTGTATTACATAATCAAATTGGTGTTTAAACAGAGAAAGAAACAAATGTCTCATTTGCAAAGCAAAACACTCAAACTCAGGAGTTTACCACACAGAACTTAGATAACCTTCTCCAAAGAGAATAAATGATTATTCAGCAGTCTGTCACATGGCAATCCTTGACACTGGCCCTTTTTTTTATAACTTTACACACACACTGGCTGCTGTCCTAGTAATGCAGCAGTTTCCTGTGTTTCCTAGAGTTTCCTACTTCTTTTCCACTGCCCCAAATGTTAGCGGACAGAGGAGAGGAAATGAACCAAAAAATTGGCCACTGAAATTGGGCATCCTAGACTTTCTTCCTCCTCCTGCCATTGCCCTGTTGTTCCAGGCCTTTCCATCATTCTGTGGCTTTTTTTCTTTTTCTTAAAATGGAACTAGCCCCATGGGGCTGACCTCCTTGTAAAATGCTTCAAGATCAATGGATTAGAGAGTCCTCTGTAAAAGCTAATTATCAACATTTTTGTACTTGCACATGATCTGATCTACAGATGGACTGAGTAGCTGCACACCCCATCTGTTTCTACTTAAGGCTGGAGGTTTCTGTACTCAGGTTTATTTTTACATAACCTAACACCACACAAACTAAAGCCTGGCATCACTGTAAAAGCTGTTCCCTGATCTTCTCAGCTTTACTTTTTCTAATAAATTAAAAAAAAAAGTCATTTTGCTTCTGCCACTGCATCCTGCACAGCACATCAAGAACACTGGCTCCACACACCCCTGAATTCATCAGGGTTTCAGAAATACAGACATTAAATTTTAGACAATTGATTTTATTCCTCTTTCTCTAAACTGTGAAATGCAGAATTTAGCTTGCAGAGCTTAAGTTTTATCTCCAGCCCTTTGCCAGCTTTCCCTCATATGCTTCAAAGACTTCAGGTGGCTGGTGGTGAGACCAGCCTGTGTGTATAAACAGAGTTCACAGAGTAATGGCTCCTTCTTTCTGTGCAGTGGCCAAATCAAAAGTCAAGAGGGGAAAAACTGTCTTGAGTTAAACTGAAATGGGCTTTTCTGAAAGGAAGATTAAATAAAACATAGGAAGAGATTTTGCCTGAGCAAAATCAGCTCAAAACATTTTGTTTGCCCTCAAGCGAAACATATCGTTTCTCAG